AATTACACTTTGTCCTACAAGGCTTCGGAGTCTGGACTGAGCATGGCAGTTTCTTTTTCGTGTCAGTTACGAGTCCGTTGTGCAACAGTGAAGAACCAAGCCAGTCCTCGCTGCTCCTTTCCAGAGTGGTGTCAGCCAGAGGGAGGGCATCAGAGGAGAGCGCTGTCTGTAGCGCAGGCAGGGACAGCTCTGAGGACAAGGTGAAATCTGAGTGGAGAGCAAAGGGAAGCAAGGGCTGAAGTCATGTGACTGAGGGCAGTGGTCCCCAGAAGAAAGCCTGTGGGTTTCACGCTCCTGAGCGAGGAGATTACTGGAAGAGTCTAGGTAGGACAGGCTTTCAGGGGCCTCTCGCTGCTGGTGGAGAAGCTACCGGGGGTGGGGGTGGGGGTGGGGGAGCAGCCCCATGGAGGGATGCAGGGGGTGGTGCCTGTGGAGAGCAATGGGGAAAGAAAGGAAGGAAGGCAGGGTTTGTGCTGCTGCTCCTCCTCCCGGGCTTCCCTGACCCACACGGAGCAGAGCCGGATGTGAGCTGGCTAAGCTGGGCGGGCAGGTTTTTCCTGCCCCAGGTCACTATGGAAACAAGCCTTCCTGAAAGCAGCCCTCTGGGAGTTGGCTGCGTCCTGGGGCCATGCTGCTGTTGTCACAGAGCACGGGAGGCAGAAACTTTAGAGAAACAAGCTGATGCAGGCACCTGAGGCGTGCTAGGAGGCCTTTTAAAAAATTAATTTTGCCTGCTTAAAAATTCCAGTCCTGTGATCAATATATTATTCTCTAGTCTGCTAATCTTAGGATATGGGATAAGACACACTTGGTTCCTTGTACAAAGGCTGTTGACATGACTGTAATTCCTGAGTGTGAGAGTGAGGGCTGCTGGGAGGAAGTGGCAGAGAAGGTCCACCGTGGTGGCTTCTTGTACTGGTTCAGGGGTCAGGACCTTCATCCACTCTTGACCCACCTCCTGTCCTGCCGGACTGTCACTGTACCCATTTGTCAGGGGACAGACCTGCTGTCTGACGGGCCACGTGGAGTTGCAGATGGCGTTCCCACGGCAGATGGCGGAGCAAGGTTGTGGGCTCAGGAGGCAGTGGTGGTTGCTGACTATAGATGCCGACACAGTCAGTGCTTGACAGACTACAAGATGGAATGGGAAAGGAAGGATGTACAAGAGCACAGATCATCACTTAGGGACTTCAACGTGAGGAGCGGCCAGGGAAATGGAAGGATGCAGGGTAGTGAATTCCTTGATGTGGCTCTTCTAGCCACAGTCTTTGTAACTGCCACCAAATGACGTCTTCCTGATGTGGCTGGATAAGAGAAGGTATGTGTGTGTGTGTGGGGGGGGTAGAGGTTGGGGGATGGTTTGAGGCTGATAGGATCACAGGATTCAGGGTGAGTGACTGGTGACAGCACTAACTCTGACTGAAACTTTGGAGCTCGAATGTGGGGATTGGTTGGTTCTACCATCTGCTGGGTATAAAATGAGCCACTTCAGCAGAAGTGAGGGCCCCACTACTTATCTAGAGAGAAGAGTCAGGAGCTGTGTCGTTTGGACCCCCAGATCCTTATACACGGAACCTCCTAGATTCAAAAGTCAGACAGCTGTGACACCATGGCAACGGAAGAGCAGCAGCAGAGCAGAGCCTAAGGCAGT